ATTAGTAAAACCATGTATCTAGTGTAATTTCATGTGTTCCGTACCGTTTATAAATAAAAAACTAGGAAGACGTTGTATGGTTTCCGATGAGACATTCAAATGCCATAAAGACCCCTTTCCTTCAGAACATGTCTCCAAAATTTAATGTGACGCAAGATGATCTGTATTACGAGAGTTACCCTATCTTACTAGAAACTTAAATTTACACTCAATGATAGAAAAATTGAAAGGTAGTTTTTTTACAATCCAGAAATCGTAAACCATATAGTATTCATAGTTTGATGGACTAGTCGGCTTGGTAATATGGAAATTTACTGATTTTAAAGTCACTACTAATATATGGATAAAAATCAGGATTACCTACGTTTATAAAATTAGGATGAATGTTTTGAAAATTTGCGGAAACTATCTTGTTCAGACGTTTCCGAACTTCAGACGTCGAAACAAAAAGAAAATATGATTGCTTTTGGGGTCATGAAGGGAAATGTCAATGTCACTGTAATGTTGAAGGTTGTATCAATAGGCTTATTACCTTGTCCCATTTAACTGAATGAAAAAGGACTGAAGTAATGGCTACGGAGGCAAATGTTCTGTGATACATCGAAATTTGAAAAATAAGGAGAACTGAAAATGTCCGGAATTTGTTTTGCAAAAACGATGGACCGTCAAAATGCGATACATGTTGATTTACTATTGGAATGCGACTGTCATTCAAGTGAGAGGTTTAGCTAACTATGAAACCAGGTTTGATCCACCATTTTCTACATTAGGAAATGCCTGTACCAAGTCAGGAATATAATAGTTGTTTTCCATTCGTTTGGTGTGTTTGAGTTTTTGATTTTGGGATTTGTTTAGGGATTTTCCGTTTTGAATTTTCCTTGGAGTTCGATATTTTTGTTATTTTACTTTTTACTTAGTAATAAAAGAAACACATTTTATAGGAAGGGAGATCTTACCTTTCCAAACCCTTTGTATGAGTTTCAAATTATGTTAAGGATCTATATAGTGTTATACAACCACCAAAAACGTTTGGGGTGGTTGAAGCTTTTCTGATTGAGGGCTAACCATTTTAGAATAAATATCCTGGATATGAAGTTAAAAATCCGAATATCATTCGAAAAGATCATTAGAAAAATCTCATACTTTCTTTATTGGAGTCAATATTTTGACCATTCCAAAAATGTTATGAATGCAAGATGTTAAGGCAATTGCTAGTTATAACAACATATATAGTTCGAGAACGTTATACATAAAACAACATTAAACTAAGAAAAGCAAACCTATCATACTCGATAACTTAAAATGATTGACATACCACATGACTTGTAAGTTATCAGGCAGCAATACATTTACATCAAATATTATGGCAAGCTAGGTTGTCACATTTATGATTATGAAGTTTATCGACAGGTTTTATGTATTCCTGTTGGTACCAATTGCGCCATGGAATATCAGAATTGTTGGTGTTTTTTATGAATCACAGTTTATTGCAAAACACAGTAAAGATCTGTCTAAATTCAATTTAATTGATAAATTTATTAACACTAACCGTTACCTTGATACTATTTTTGCTTTGAATAATAAAGATTTTATACTGCGGAAATTTACCAAAGGGGATTTACTTTAAATAAATCTAATATTGATAGCAATAAATGTCCTTTTCTAGATTTGGATCTTTTAGTTTCACAACGGAAAATCTGAATATGGCATATATCGGTACTAACATCGATTTTGAATTTGATTTTGAAAAATTAAAACATATATAAAGATGTTTTGCTGTTCATTTATGAAAACATATGTTCCAACATCCTGTTATCTTGGTATCGCACAACATCATGATTATCTGAGACTGTTTACTGACGTCTTTAAAATTCGTTTAATTGTGTACTGATTGATATTGTTGTCGGAAAAACATTATACATCGGTTGTTATTAGTTTTGAACTAGTTAAAAGTGACTGGAAGTACTCTCAGATCGGTTCCGTATGTCTTATGTTAGTTGTTTTTGTGTTCCGTGTCAATATTGAGAGCCAAGCCATTCCCACCTGATTTTATAGTTTTTATGGTCGCATATATCCAATCGAATTTGAAATAAAGGATGCAACAAATACAGTTAAGTGTGCCTCATACCTTGAGTTACACCAAGAAACTGACAGTAAGGGTATGTTGAGAACAAAAATTTTCGACAAATGAGATCATTTCAGCATCCAAATTGTAAACTATACATTTCTATGTAGTAACATTCCAGCAGCGCATGCATATGGAGTATATATCTCCTAGTTGAAATGATATTTCAGAGCTTGCATTTCCTATTCCTACCATGTTTTCCTTGATAAAGGGTTGCTGTTTACTAGTCCGCTATTTAACAGATCCAAGTGGCGAAATTTAAATCATCCCTCCGAAAATTAAACGGACGCCATCACGAGTTGGTTGACTGTTGATGGAATATCATTTTCACAGATGACGACATATATGTTCCATCTGATATCATCCCCAGTTTTTGGTGGGGTTCGTGTTGTTCAGTCTTGAGTTGAAGTACTATTACACTATTGTCCCAGGTTAGCGGGAGGTTGGGCGATCACTAATATGTTTAACTTCGCCACTTTCTGTATGTGCCTATTCCAGGTCAGGAGCCTGTAATTCAGTTGTTGTCGTTATGTGTTGTCTGTTATATCTGGTTTTTGTTTGATTTGTCTCATATTGTCATGTCGGGACCTTTTATAGCTGACTTTACGGTATTGATTTTGTTCTTTGTTAAAGGCTGTACAGTGAACTTTAATTGCTTAAATCCATGTCATTTTAACTCTGTTTGATACTTTTCTCATACCACATCTCCATTTTCTATATCAAGCCATTTAAAGATTTTTTTCAAATTAAAGACTGAATAATAAAAACCAGGGATTATCTCAGGAGATCCCGCTCTACATTTGGCACACGCCGTGTTGCTTATGTATAAAATTGAGAATGGAAATAAGGAATGTGTCAAAGAGACAACAACCCGACCAAAGAACAGAAAACAGCCCAAGGCCACCAATGGGTCTTCAACACAGCGAGAAAATCCCGCAACCGGAGGCGGGCTTCAGCTGGCCCCTAGAAAAAAATGTGTACTAGTTCAGTGAAGTGAAAAATGTACACATTCGCTAATAAGTCTCATATGGTGATGTAACATTCAAGGAAACGAGAACGGGTTTGTGGTAACGACATTTGAAAAGTATCTGTCGTCATCTCTGAAACTGATACCGGTATTCAATGACTGATACACACAGAAAATTAATAATTAACATTTACGCACTGAGATAAAAAAACGAAAAACACACACTCAGAATAAACCCAAATAAATCAGTTGTTACAGTCCGCTGCTCTACGATGGTTAAATTAATGCGAGCGAGAGAGATCGATTATGGGGATAGCCTGAATTAATCGGGTTACCAGAAAATTGTAAATTACAAACTGAGATGTCTGCTCACATATATGTATTTGAGGTTAACTGTGGTTATCTAAACGTACATGAGGATTCCTAAGTTTGAAAATTGAAAGAGATTAATCTGATCGTAGGTGACCCTTTGAATCTCGAGTGCACACACACTTCTAGTTCATTTAGTCATGACATTTGTGCTGCTTTGTAATTTATACATCAACCTCACGAAAAAGACAGGACCTATTGCAATGCCGAAAGTTTTTGTTTACAAAATTTCGACACAAAAGAAGTAAAAGAAACCTTTTGTCTTCTTCTTGAAATTGAATAATTACCTTACTGATAAAGTTGGACAGTTTACCTATTAAGGGATAAACTTTATAGATGCAAACATGCATATGAATGAAAGAGGAACCAAACCTCTTTTCAAAATCTATAAAATCTTTGAAGGTCGTAAACCGAAATTTATAACTTTACTAAGTGTATTTGGCCACACAGTAAAACCAATTTCTAACATATTTATGTGAAATTTGGGGTGCTTTCGATTAAAAAGGTAACTGACAAAGGAAAAGGTTATTTTGAAAATTATGTAATAACTATATTAATATATTATGTTTTTGTATTTTCCTTTTTTTTCTTTTATTCATATAATGGTAGCCAAATCATTGTAATCATGTGTATATAACTAAATTTAACTTGATGGACGTCTCCTATTAACAATAACGTATTGAACTTGAACCTGTTCCAGACTAGACACAATCGAATTGAATATTATTCATAATTCCGTAAAAGTACCGACAAAATAGATTTAACAACAACTGTATGTTCATAACCTGTATTGATACATATAACTGTGTTAAGCCAACAGGAAACTTTACTGCTTTAATATTTATACCATATACAGCCACATTTATTTGATTTATTTATGTATTGACAGTTGCGATTATAAGTAAATGTGTATGTCAGCCTTGGAAAAAAACAGAATATTTATTCATTATTCAATTTATTTTCAATTTTTGGATCACTGGCTTTGTCAATATAGTATATATGTTTTGACATTGACGAAGCCAGTGATGCAAATATCAAAAAAAATATACTTTTTAAATCATATATTATATTTGTATTTCCTTCTTTCCTTTTATTCATGTTATGATCATTTTTATAATTGTTATCATTGTTATCATTTGTATATATCTAAATCGAACTTGATTACTCTGCATGCAATGGGAGTTTCCGATTGACAATACAATATTAAACTTAAACCTATCCCAAGACTAAAAATAAACAAAATAGTGTAATATTAGTCCTTAAAAACAAAAACAAACATTAAAGAAAAAAAGGATGATTAAGCCAAAAGGAAACTTTTTAAAAAATTTTTTTTTACCATTTACAGTCACTCTGCACACTAAAGATTGACCAACACGAACTCCACCAAACAAAGGAGAAGACCCATGCAAGTGCTCTGGAAATTTTTTAATCTTTTTCTCTTTTAATAGTAATAATCATTTATAACTAAGCCGATACTATATTTTATAAGTAAAAACATTTTTTGTTATTATAGAAGTATAACATGAATTTAGATCTTACCTTCAAACGCCTAAAATTCCGTGTTATGTTATATTTTCTATAATGCAATATGAATATATATGTAAATATATGTCTTATAACAACATAAAAAGCGTGGACTACTTTCCCTGGTTTGTTTGACAATTAAATACATATATAAAATGCAGCATTAAACATATATTATGAGCTTCCATTTAAACATTTAAAATTATGATGGCACTCCAAAAGGCACGACCCTTAATTTCTATAACTTATTACACTTAATTGCAATTTGAAATTCACCATTGAAATCATAATATCTTTGTATACGTTGGAAGTTTATACATTTAAACTGTAATTTGGTTTTAATCACAGCAGGATACTTTCTTTTGGTAGAACTGCTTGACTGATGAAACGATACCATCAAGTAGTCAATTTAACATTACTAATGTATACTTTCGTCAGGATTTTTTTTTTATTTCTTTTTTAAAACCTTTTGATACTATGACTGTAAAATTTGGTGTAAAACTATTAGATCTGGTAAAAGAAGAATTATAAATGTTTATCAACAATTAGTTTGAATGATTGTGATTGACATCTATAAAAGATATTTATACAGTGTGTATGAATGCCCAAGGTGAGCATTATTAGTGTCAGAACATTCATAACCAATCTATAGAAGGGTAGTTCGAGCTTGTATATCTACAGCAAGGCAAGTTTTATTTGCTAGTGATATTTTTTTCCAGAGCGACTAATTAGTTTTTACAAAAAAATGGTAATTGATAGTGTTATTAGTAGTATAACTTATTCATTCAGATCTATAATGATAAAAGTCTCGTGTTCTAAAATTCTGTTCAACCAAAGGTAACACATAATACCAATATCGGACATGATATAGTGAAGACGTATTAATTATAATAAATATAGAGAAAATAATATTATACAGATATAATACTGGCTAGCTACAATTAACAAACTCATACGTTATAGAATTTGACAGAGAGAATATTGGCCGACTATAATTAATAAACTAATACGTTATAATATTGAACAGAAAGAATACTAAAGACTGACTACGATTAACAAACTCATTCGTTGTGATATTGAACAGAAAGAATATCGAATGACTATAATTAACCAACTCATACGTTATGAAATTTGACAGAAGGAATACCGACTGACTGCAATTAACCAACTCTTACACCCCAGTTCTATTGTTATACTTCATAGTTTCTATTTCTGAAACAAGTGTAAATTGAATAGATCTATTGTTACGAAAAACAATGGATTTTGACCACAGGGTGTGACGAGCGGGGTTTCTGGAAACCCCTGCTTCTACATCCCGCAAACAAAGTCCATTGTTATTCGTAACAATAGAAATTGATTATGAACATAAGAAATTACTAATAGTGTTCACTTCAAATTGTTTCATGATATTAAAAAAAAACACATTTTAGGAAATTCCAATAAGCATCTATATGGAATAAAAAAATAATCCTTTAAATACTTTTTTGCTTGAAGGTAATTTGTTTTTATCCCAGTCATATGGTCTCTATTCTAAAGCATTGATCTTTAAAAAAAGAATTGGGATTCTAGCTCCCGGACCCCCTCCCCCGGTTACCCAGTGACCGATCCGGGGTTGGGGGTTCCGCGGGTTGGACCCGACTTTTATTTAAAAGATCAATGCATTTGAATGGTTGGGTCTCCCTTTCTCTTGAGTTGGGAACCCCCGGCTGGATCAGCCCCTGATTGTCCCCCCAAAAAGGGGAGTTCCTCAATATTAAATATTGTATGTTGAACGTGTCTGGTAGTCGGGTTTCTAATGCAGACACACCTATTCCTTAGTATGTTCGAATATGAATGTCTGTTTATTCTCGAGATGAGGGGGGGGGGCTTTTGTTTTTGATAAAATCATAAGATATAAAATACAGTTATGATTACCTTTATTAGACTGATACAGGTAAGTACTTTGGGTTATAATATTGCCTTTATCTTTAGTCTCTTCTACCAAATCCAACGCTTGCCACAGAATGTCGTCCGTCTTATACCCGTCCATATTGACAACTGTATACCAGGAGCATGATGTAATTTTTTGTTTGTAATAAGAATACACGAAACAGTCAACCTTGACCTGCTGATCCATATTAGCACATGGATTTAACGGGAATATGCAAAACAACTTTGACATTTGTAAAATATACTCACTTGTCAAAGTTTGAAGGAGATAACCAAAGAAAGGTAACTAGTGGGGTTTCATGTAATAAACAAATATTCTTATAAATCATGGTTTGATATTATCAATAAATATGCAATCGTTTTTTTTTTTTTCATTTAATAATCAATGTTAACAAATATAGGGTTTAGAATGGGGTGTAAGTTAGTTATACACCTTGGGATACGGTGTGTCTGGATAAGAAACCCCTCCGGCCTCCGGCCGGCGGGGTTTCTTATCCAGACACACCTATCCCTCGGTGTATAACTATTACATACTTTACGAAATTTGACAGAAGGAATACCGACTGACTACAATTAACAAACTCATACGTTATAATATTGAACAGAAAGAAAGTCAATGCTGACTGACTACAATTAACAAACTCATACGTTATAGTATTGAACAGAAAGAAAGTCAATGCTGACTGACTACAATTAACAAACTCATACGTTATAAAATTGAACAGAATGAATACTGACTGACTACAATTAACATACTCATACGTTATGGATAATAACCTTTTATTTAATTCATGTAAATTACTTTAAAACGAAGGTACATAAATCATTATTTATCCGGCAGGACCACCCGTAAACTATAGCAATATACTACAATTATATCTTTCATATGATCTGCTCCAATACATTGCTTCAAATGTTTCAGTAATTGCTATCCTTATTTTGATATTTTTAGTTACAATGTACATTGCTATTTACAATAATTATCATCTTCAAATCTATTTGCGTGCCAAAACCCTTGTTTCATAATTTCAAATGAAACTGGATAGCTACCCGCTAATGGTGCAAGTACTGGTTTATGATTATGTTCATATTTTTTTCTTTTAGACACTTGCATAAAAAGTGAAATAACAAATATACCGAACTCTAGGGAAAATTCAAAACGGAAAGACCCTTATCAAATGGCAAAATTAAAAGCTCAATCACATCAAACGAATGGAAAACAACTGTCATATTCCTGACTTGGTACAGGTATTTCCTTAAGTAGAAAATGGTGGATTAAACCTGGTTTTATAGCTAGCTAAAACTCTTACTTGTATGACAGTCGCATCAAGTTCCATTATATTGACACGAATGTGTGATTAAAACAAACAGACATAACAGGTAAAAATGTCAAAAATAGAGGTACAGCAGTCAACATTACGTTATAATCTTAATCACTATATGTCAAAAAAGAAAAACAAAATGGCATATAGACAAAGCATAGAGTTATTAGTTGTTTTGAATCTTGAACTATCCATAAAATATACACCAAAGTTCAATTCATCATGCAACCAATTACAATACTAGTATAGTATTTGCCTTTTCTACCAGTAACACAACCATAATTCCTTAATCTTAACAAAACCGAAATAAAAAAACAAAATATTATGTCCACGGAGTGTACAAAATACCGATGACCACAATCTTTGGCTATGTGAAGTGTGCCAGTTAAAATGTTTTGTGATTAGCTACGACAGTGTTGTCAATTTTTTCTAAACTCTAACTTTTGAAATTAGATCAAAGCTGAAATTTTCAACACAATTGTTGAGCAATTTGTTTTAGTTTCTGAACCTTTTTTTAGCCAAATGGCTGTATTGGTTTTTTACCATGTTTTATATTGAGTTATTGATGGACGCTTAATATCAACCGTAAACTACTGCATGTTAAATAGGAAATATAACCTGTAAGTGTGACATGAATATACCTTGATTTGTCTACTACAGATACGCTAAGACATATGTACAATATGTCAGCTTACAAAGTATTACCTCGGAGGAAGGCATTTCATATAACCGGTATATATTATTCTGTTTTCAAGCCGACGTATGTTCTTGCTCCTAAATGCCACATGTGCTGGGCATTTGCAGGACATAACAGCTTGATGTCTTTGGTCTAAACCGGTCGGCAAAGAACCAGCGTTTTTCTGAAGTCAATGCTAGGACGCTAGCACGAAACCACATATATACCAGTCATGCCACTTTTGAGTCAAGTCCGTTGTTTTATTTTAATACTTTTTCCATAGAATTAAAAACTATAAAAACAAGAAGATGTTGTATAATTGGCAATGAGACAACTTTCCACCAGAGACTAAATGACATAGAGTATATGTCACCGTACGCCCTACAACAATGAGCAAACACCATACCGCATATTCAGCTATAAAAGGCCCCGAAATGTCAACGGTAAAACAATTCGAGCGAGAAAACTAACGGCCTGATTAATGTACAATACAATGAACGAAAAATAAATATGATATACAGCAACACACGACAACCACTGAATTACAGGCTCCTGTCTTGTGACAGGTACATATAAAATGTGGCGGGGTTAAAATAGTTTGCTGGCGCTAAATCCTCCCCTAAATTGGGACAGTGGTGTAACAGTTCAACATAAGCCCTTTTACTGATTTATTTACTAGTAGTTTGTTCTTATGTTGTACTGTTACACCACTGTTCAATGTTAGTAGAGGGTTGACGCTTTCAAACATGTTTAGCTCCGCCACATTCTAATGTGCCTGTCTCAAGTCGGGAGCCTGTAGTTCATTGGGTTTCGTTATGTCTGTTATGTTAGTTTTTTTACAAATTGTTTTGTTATAAGTTGAGTCGTTAGTTTTTTCTCAGTTGAATTGTTTGATATTTTTCATGTCGGGGCCTTTTACAGCCAACTATACGGTATGGCGTTTTCTCATTGTTGAAAGCCTTACGGTTGTCTATAGTTGCTTACTTATAAATAGGAAGACGTGGTATGAGTGCCAATGAGACAACTCTCTATCCAAGTCACAATGTATAAAAAGTAAACAATTATAGGTCAAAGTACGGCCTTCAACACGGAGCCTTGGCTCACACCGAACAGCAAGCTATAAAGGGCCCCAAAATGACAAATGTAAAACAATTCAAACAGGAAAACCAACGGTCTAATCTATATAAAAAACGAGAAACGAGAACACTTTTGAACCACATCAACAAACGACAACCACTAAAC